AAATAGGCTTTATTATTATGGATTTACAAATGTGAACATGAAAATCCTCTCTGTGGTCATATATCTTGTATTTGATTTTAAACCTCCCTGATCAAGACTGCGGATATAGCTCAATGGTAAAGCACTGGCCTGGCATAAGGCCCTGGGTTCAATCTCCAATATCACAAAAACAAAAAATAACTTCCATGTTCGAATTATTTACGAGCTCCCTTTTGTACTGCTTAGAACTGTCCTGAAGATTATCCAAAATGAAAAGTAATCTTGACTCTGTGCTCAGAGACCCAAGTTTCACTTCAGCATTGTTAAGTCTTCCAAAGTCAAATTATGTTTTGAAACAAATGGAATTATCCCAGTCATAGAGTGTATTAAACAATCACTGACCGAGTGCCAAACTGACGATGGTTTCTACTGCTATTGCCACATCCCAGTAGTATCTACAGGGCTTTTCAGGACAGCCTAGGGAAAACTGGTTTGTATTCCTTCCTCTGTTTCTAACTAAATCACTTTTACAATTATATTTCAGCCATGCCCCTTTAAATGGGTACCAAAGCCCTTAAAAGTCTAAAGGAGAGACCAAAACACTTGTGGTCGAAGCATATCATGCAACACATATTGCCAGTGCAAAATGAATATCTTCCAAAAATCCTGGCTTTCCTTTCACATTACCATAAGAGATACCTATATTGACCTACTCTGAGGCAAAACCACCTCTCCTCCAAATGTTTCAAGAAGAAGAAAGATAGCCATGTCTGTAATAATTAGTGAAAGTTCCCTTCCCTCACATGAAAATTTTTAAGGTCACAAAGCATTTTTACATATATCATTCCATACCTTCTTTAAAGTAGTCCTGTGAGGAGTCTCATTATAAAAACTAGTGAAGTGAGGTACAAAAATCCAGAGACTTTCCCAAGACTTTAGAACTTTGCATGTATTGCATTTATAGCCAGAATCTATTGTTTTTATATTCCCAGAGAGAGAAGGCAGGGTGTGTGGGGGGGATCACTGGATAATATTTGTGAGCTACAAAACTTTCAAAAATAAATGTGAAAATAAAACTGACAACAATATTATCTAATATATCTCATATACATTGAAAAAGTTGGATGAAATATTTCCCTAAGAATAAATACACATCTCTAAAAATAAATGCATTTCTCTCAAAGCATTGTTCCAGCAAAATGAAATATCAGGTACATGAACTTAAAACAGTTCAGCTCTGTCTTTGCAAAAGCAACTTTCCTCATGGTTGTGAAAAAGGACTTTCATGTACTAAAGCTCTACACTCTTACTACTAACCACCATGTTTTCATAAAATTGAATTCTTTGGGCTCCAAATAGATTGGCTCTCTCTGTTCCCAGTCTCAGTAAATGGCATTCAGTCATTCAAGGCAAAAATTGTAGTCTCATCCTATCAAATTAAATTCCTTCAGGTTAGAGTTTAAACTTTTCAGCTCCTTCATGATCTGCCTCGTCTCCTGACACTTCTCTAGATTTGCCTGTCAGTCCTGCCCTAACAAGCCACTTCATATGTCCTTATACTTCTACCTCCATGCCTTTGCACATGCTAGAGCTCTTCCCAGGGCAGCCTTACCACCACACTCATCTGGCTAATTCCTGTGTCTACAAGACTCAGCGGAAGCTATTCTGGGAAGCCTTTCCCAAATCCTACAGTCTCAAGTAAACATAGTGCTTTAGGCGTCTGCTTGCCCTGCAACACCTCCTCACCATGATGCACAAAGTGTTAGTTTCATCTTGCCCTTAACATTAGATCAAGGTTATCCAATAGAACTTTCTGCCATGATGGAAATTATCTGTATCTGTGCTAATATAGTAGCCACTAACCACAGGTTGCTATTGACCACTTGAAATGTGGCTAGTTTGAGGCTGGGGAATGTGGCTTATTAGTAGAATGCTTGCCTAGAACATGCAAGGCCCTAGGTTACATCCTCAGAACCAAAAAAACAAAACAAACAAACAAACAAAAACAGAAAACAAAACCTTGTAAAATGTGGCTGGTTCAACTAAGGAAGTGTGTGTGTGTGTGTGTGTGTGTGTGTGTGTGTGCGTGTGTGTTTTAAACTAGAGATTTAACCTAGGGACCCTTTACCATTGAGCTACCTCCCGGACCTTTTTAATTTTTTTGTATTTTTGAGATAGGGTCTCACTAAGTTACTTAAGAGCTCGCTAAACTGCTCTTAAGGCCTTGAGGTTGGCTTTGAATTTGTGATTCTCCTGCCCCAGCCTCTCCAGTTGCTGGGATTACAGGCATGTACCAACATACCCAGCTTGGTAGAAGTATAATTTTATTTGATCTTAATTATCCTAAACCTAAATTTGAATAGTGATCTGTAGCCAGTGGCCATGGTATTGGACAATGCCACTCTAGGAAGGCTGTCAACTCTTCAGATAGGTATGATGGATACAGACACAAGCATGGTCCTATCACAAGACCTGCCAGAAAGTAGGATTCACTGTTTATTGAAAGTATACATATACACACACACGCATACATACACACACACACACACACACACACACACACTTCTTATATACTGATAGAAGTGATTCCATCCCAAACACCAAGCATTCTAGGTCCCTATATCCAATTTGGCCAAATTCAGTCACATTTTATAAAAAAAAAAAAACACCTCATTAACTAACATGGAAAAAAAGCCCTCAGCAAATCACTCATTTTTCAGGACATTCATCTTCACAATCACTCTTAAATGATTTCCAGATGACTTCTGGATGAAATGGTTATGCTGTTTATGAAATTTTACAATAGTCATGGCAGCATCATCTGGGAAAGTCAAAATCAACTACACTGTTTTATAAAGAAAAAAAACAGACTTTTACCATGTGTATATTAATATGGAAAATAAATTCTTTTGAATGCCTAAAGTTTTGCCAGAGTATTAAAAATTATTTTGGATTTTTAAAAAATATTACTCAGCTTTCCTAACTAAATTTATTTTGGAAATTCAATACCATATTTGGAGAAGGTGTACCAACTTGGCTTAATGGACTTTGTTACTGTGATAGGATAGAGAGAGAACATGACCTAGCTACAAAGAACTAGTAATCTAACTCAATTTGGTTCCAATTAAAAGTCTCGGTTGACAGAATTCATGAGGTTGACATATGCTTGGTCATTTGAGATCTTATGAAATTCAAGATGTGAACTTCACAATGCAGAGATTAGCCAGGTCTGACTCCATATCCAAGTCCCCACTGCAAATCCCTTAAAGGATAACCAGCAATCAAAGGTATCAACAAAGGTGGTCTGCACATAGTGAACCCCATCCAGAACAAGAGGAACTTCTCTATTCCCTGTCTGGTCCATCACACATCCCACAGAGTTTTTACAATGGCTGAATAACCAATTGTTAGTGCCCTTTTACTACATAATTACTTCTGTAAAAAGAGACTAATCCTAAAGCCTAAAAATATATGTGAAATAGAATGGAAGAGAGAAAGCATCATAAAGCTTGATTAGGGGGTGAAAGTGGAGGCTTCAAATGACAGGTCACTCCTTTTTAACTTTATTCAAAAATTTAACCAAGAATAACATTATTACAAAGCAATTAATGTTCACTATAGAAGGCAAAAATACAAAATACATCTAATTCTGTTGCCCAAAGATGGCATTTCATATATATTCCACTGTTTTTCTTAATGCATTTCTAAAATGATAAAATAAATATTAGCTAGCATTTACACAACATTCTGTATCATGTACTGTCCTAAATAATTAACATACATTAATTCATTCTGTCTTCACCAGAATACTATAAGGGAGAGATTATTATTATCATCCACACCTTATAAACAAAGAAACTCGGCAGAGACAGGCTAAGTAATTTGACCCAGCTCACAAACCTGTAAGTAACAAATAATCTCTGTTCCAATTTTTCCTATGGAAGCATTACGTTCAACTAAGTAGTGTGGGAAGAAAAAATTCTCCTTAACTTTTTAAAATCCTTAACTGCTATTTCAATACTCTGTGAGAAACAGGGAGTACAATCTATGTATCTTATTTGGTTCCTATTGTCAGTTCTAAGGGAGAAGCCAAGATAAGACAGGAGACATTCACTAACTTGGATCTGATACTCAATAGCCGGACTGTATGATGCAATCTGAATATGAATTTAGATTCCTTCAGGGCTACATCTTTCTGATGTTCTTAGTACCAAACTGTCACCTTACTACCTCCATTAACTTGGTCTCTAAAACCTATATCAATTTGATCCAAGTCTGATTTTGTTTTTTCACCAGGATTCTTAAAGTCTAATACATACTTTCCAACTTTTTTGAAAATCAGAAGTGTGTCTTTTGATTATTGACTTCAAAAACATGTTCAGAAAGCAACAAAATGGAGATTAGAACAAGCCAATTTTTTTTTTCCATAATGAAAACTGTTAAAAATGTGAAGTTTAACTGACAAGTTCAGAAACCTACTTAAAGGTACTCCCAGGGAGCTGGCCAATGTCCCATGCCTTCAACTTCGTCCCCAAAGGTCACCTGCAAATGACCAAGGGGCTCTATAATCAGTTTCCTGCTCTCTGCTCGCATGCTGTCAGAGCTGTCTGTTGCATCATGACCCTGAAACACCTTTTGTTATTTTTTATGGTTCTGTTACCCATACAGCAATGCCTTTGGCAGCAATGGTAATTATGCAGCAGCCTTGTTATCTCAGGATAACACTATAATTAACTTGTGTCACTGCAGCACTCGTGGTTATAATAATTGTAGCCAAAAAGGTCCTATAGAAATAGCAGTTTTTGGTTCTGGCTTTTAAAAATAACTTCAGTAATTATACTGCTTTAAAAAAATCAAGTTTGTTTCCCCCCAGAAAAATTGATTTCCTTTGCAAAAAAAAGCCCACTGAAACTAAGCTATGTGAATGTTCCCAACAGGAAATCTTAGTATCTCTGTAGTGAAAGCTCCCAAAGAGAATAGTGGTGAAAATATTCACAAACAGTTCTCAAAGTAATACTTACAGCTCTTCTAGAAAAGGAAAGTTCTTAAATGCATCTTCTGGTAATTGTGTGATGTTGTTCATACTGATATCCCTGAAAAACATAAAGTTAAGAATATTGTTAACTAAGTGGTTAAATAATTTAACCCGATAGAAAACTAATTCCATGCTGAAATTTTGTAAAGAAGCAAAAGGGGGAGGGATGGTCATAATTTGGCTTTAGAATGCAAAGCTCAGGAAAAAAAAACAAAAACAGAAAGTTAAGTCTTTTATTATAATTTATGTCTAAATTATAATTTAGAAAAATACCCAGATACTGGAATTTCCCTCTTCAAATGTCCTTAGAAAAAAAATGTCTCAAACTATTAGTGAGCCAGTGTAGCTTATCAAAGTATTGAACCTAATCAAATAAGCAATAGATACTGTAGGACTTGATCTAATAGATTTGCAGTCCTGGGTAGCTGCTGGGTTTACTGTGTCAAAGATAAAAAAAAAGCATGTCCTAGCTGTCACCCAGTTACATTTTTTTAAAAACCTATGAAAGACCTCAGGTAAGAGTTGTAAGTACATTTCATTTTTAGCCTATGAACAGATGCAGGCTAAAGACAAGTGCATACATGATAGGTATGCAGTCCATTTCCAGTTTTCCCTCCGAGTGTCAGCAGAAAAGAGGGAACTCGCTCAACAATATAACTTAACAATTAACTAGTTCAAACAGCTAAAACATATTTTATTAACCATCCTTCTCCTCCCTGGCAGCTGCTTTTGAATTGACTTTCTCTTGCATATGCCACTTCCTATCAAGACCATGAAAGACAGGTTAAAGGAGTCTCAAAAAGGAAGATCCCAGAATGTACTGGGTCAGCTGAGCAGCCTTCTTTGGCTTCTGCTGCATCTTATTTGGGATCCGTCCTGTGGCTGAGCCCTTAGGCCCCAATATTATTTTGCATAAATCACCATGAAAGTTCACATGTACAATGTTTCCATTACTAGATTATATGAACTGATAAAAGGAGGCAGAAGTCAGCTAACAACAGTAACACATTTATTTTCATCAATTCGGTCAGGTAAAATCATTCTTCTCTTTTTTCTTTCTTTCTTTTTTTTTACCTGGGATTGAACCCAGTGGCATTTAACTACTGAACCATATCCCCAACCCATTTTTTATATTTTATTTTGAGAGAGGGTCTCACTAAGTTGCTGAGGCTGGCTCCAAACTTGTGATCCTCCTGCAATCAGCCTCCTGAGCCGCTGGGATTTCAGGCGTATGCCACCGTGCCTGGCAGGTAAAATCTTTTTGAGAAGGAAAAAGCTTCAGTACTTCAACAGATGAGTAATTTAGAAGTGGAATGTGCTTCCCTTCTTATATCCTTTCCCAAAGAGGTCTGGAAAACTTCTTTGCTTGGTAATAACAGGAACGAAATCAGCAGGAGCAGCAGGCAGTAACATGGAGCAAATCCTCCAAGATAAGACTGCACAAAAAAATCTCACTTTACCAATGGGGAAACTGAGGCTCATTGCAGCAAAATAACCTCCCCACGGCCATTCAACAAGTGATATAACAGGAAATAAGAACTCCAGAGACCATGATCTTAACTGCAAACTAAGAGCCTTTACTAAGTCCTGAGTTCAAACCCTAGTACAAAAAAAAAAAAAAAAAAATCAGGAGGAATAGTGTCCCCAAGACCTTGGCATAATCATCAATGAATCTCAGGAAGTGTACTTTTTGCTTGACAGATGAGAAAAAGGGAAGAAAGAAAGAAAAGAAGGAAGGCTGGCCATTTGTTTTTACCAATTAAGGAACCCAAGTTCATAAAATTTCTCTGAGCAAGAAACTTCCCTTTAGATAAATCTTATGACCACATAGATCCACAAGCATTCCAAAATTTTATATCCTGAAAAACAACTCAAGTTCTTCAAATAACTTAAAGGAAGAATAAAATTAATATGCTCCTCCAGGTTTTTGTTTGTTTTGGTATCAGGGATTGAGCCCAGGGGTGCTTAACCACTGAGCCACATCCCCAGCCCTTTTTATTTTTTATTTTGAGACAAGGTCTTGCTAAGTTGCTTAGGGCCTCACTAAGTTGCTGAAGCTGACTTTGAACTTGGGATCTTCCTGCCTCAGCCCCTGGAGCCACTGGGATTATAGACATGTGCCACTACACCCAGCAGGATTTGTTATTTTTAAATAACAGGCCCCAATATTATTTTAGCCAGCAACATCTAGGGAAGGGAAGAAGGACTTCTTTATTTATCGTAAGTACTTGGGCAAGATACAGGAGAAATAGCAAAAATAGGGATCAGAAAAAGCAGGGCAGCTCATACCACTGAACACAGTGGGTTCCTGGGCCTCAGTTGCTCATCTGTAAAATGAAGGAACTGAGCTGGTGGGTTAGTTGGGCTTTCTGGCCTGACATTACATTCTTCTATGATTCACCTTTTTCTGAAGTTTTTTTCATAAAAGGGCACACCCTTTCTGATGAAATATATGAAGTTCATTTTATGGAATGTTTCTGAACAATTTATTATAATGCAAAATGTAGAGACTATTAGTTTTCCTTTATAAAACTACTGAGTCACTCCTGCTGGAAACACATTTGGCCTTCACCAATAAAATCATTCGTATGTATACAACAAAACTTTTAATTATATTGAAAGGCAAAGCAATAATCTGATATGAGCAAACAATGATTCTGCAAAATATCACACAATATTGGTGCTTTTTAGTCATTCCAATAAAGGAAGGAGAAAAAAAATCCAACAATAATTTATTGCTTTACAAAATGAGGCACTCCATGTAGTTTCCTCTAAGCTTGGCACACTTCAGTTCAGGTATCACAGCAACAGAAAAACTGATTAACTGCTTCATAAGGAAAAAGGTCTAGGGAGAACTGATTAATTGCCTCACCAGAAAAAGACACATAATTAGAGACAATTTACACCACACTATTCTCTGCATTCCAATTTTTAAAAACACACTTACACATATATAACTCTCATTTTTTTCTCCTCAGAGAAACAAGACATAACAGGTAGTTTTGCTGTGAACTCTAAATGCAATTAGTGGGATTCCATATTTACAAACTAATACATGTTAAACATTAAGATTTTGTTTCAAAACTGCAGCAATACTTATTTTCAAAATTTTCTACATTTCATACACTCAAGAGGTTATCTCTCTGTAGCTATTTCCCTTCATACCTTCTGGGCTTCAATTACAACACATTTATGAATAAACTAAAAAATACGTATGTGCTGTGGGGGGTGGTATGCTACAAGATATTATCTCCAGAGAAGCTCTGGAAACATGTGGTTACAGAGTATAAGGTGGGTGGGTACTCATTTAAAATAATGAGGGCTAATGGTGATAAACAACCTACAGACAGTCTTAAGAGTATATTCTAGACCTGACATCACCAACACCCGCAAGAGAAGCCAAGGTACTCAGACTTCATAAATAAAAAGTTAGAAAGGGTGCTGGGAGTGATGAGTTAAACTGTAAGAGTTTACAAATGGAAGCCCTGTGCCAGCAATTACAAATGGAGGAGACTTAGGAGCCACAAAAATTGTTAAAACACACAAGCAAAAGAAAGCTGCTTAGGAAATTTTCAGCTCGAAGATGGTTCTACAAATCAGTACCTTCAAATTCACATGAGCAATGTGATCTCACTAGCAACATCAGTAATTAAACCCAGTAATTCGCCTTTCTGGATTCCTACCAAGAAATAAATATAACAGAAAACAAAACAAAAATCATACAAGGTCAGAGCACGACCAACTCATAAACAACTCTGAAGGGCAATTTCAAAAGAGTTGATGGCCTTCCTCCGAGCTGGACTTGCACAATTAGTACAGGCTTTAGAGCCAGACAGGTATGGATTCACTTCACCAGTGTGAACTGGCATTCTGTTCATCTTTCCTGAGCCCTGACTTCTCCATTTGTAAAGTGGCAGCACTAGTACCTGAATATTGTAATTTGCTATGAAGATCAGAAAATGTCAAGTCACATATAATAAGATCCCAAGTAGTAGATATTTACTTATTTTGCTATTATTCCTAGAAGTCATCTGAATTCAGTAGTCAGACAGGACCAAGAGGAAGCTCAGGAGCATACTGCTTTGGTGACCTTCCCAGAAAGAAATTACTTTTATAAAAGAGAAATTATAAATGTTGCACAAGAACTACAGCAAAGAATTGTTCCTAAATACTAAAGGAAACTCTAGAGCTAAAAGAGTTTAAGTTGGAAGAGCCCTTCAAGAAGCCCAGTTATTGATAGAGTCATGCACTCTTAAAAAGAAATTACATTTTTACAGGAAATTTTTAGAAGGATGAGGAAAGACAGAATCCATAGAATCCGGTCTCAAAAAGATAGGATGATTTCAAGCAATTTAATGATAATCCTGGGAATAAAAACTAGAACTTTTGCTTAGTGGGGTGGGGTAGAGGGAAATCTTTTCTATACAAATTTATTTTCATAACTGATTTCTTTAGTTAGATCTCAAGATACACCAATGAGGACAGAGCATGGGTCCGCATTTCATACTTACACAGCATACTACTCTCATCTTTACTACAGAGATCAAAAATAAGAGAGTACAGATGTGAATGCCCAAATACCAGCCGTCACTGATTTCAACACGAAGATTTAAAGGATCCAATTGTTTAATTAAAACTGACAAATCTCCCCAGTGGTTAAACTCTCATCTTTTTGCCCCATAAAATCCACTAATGCTGAAGTATCTACAGAGAAAAGATCATGTTTCAACAAGGCACCTTTTAAAATCCCTGTAAAACGCTTGCTAAGGGAGCCTAACCTGTTTGCAGACAGCCCAGAGTGTACCATGGCAGACTCTGTCACTGCATCCTCTCAGGGTCTGGGCCTTCTGCCACAGAATTATTTCATTTTTTATCTTGTGACTGGCCCAGTGTTATCTTAATTTGAATAAGCCCTGTTATTTGTGTTAGATAAAACTGTACTACTAATGCCATATTGCTGATTATATCTCAAATATTACCTGGCAGATTAAAAAGTCACTCTTTACATATAGGTTTTAGGGAACATGGGGTTCTCTAGGAGAAGAAAATGGT